CTGAAAACCAAGCTTCAAAAGAACAGAGCTAAACTTTAAAAATCACTGTCTTGAAGCCTGTTTTAATCCATAAAGGGATTTGTGTAACTTACAAACTGCATTTGGAGGTCAAGTCTCTCCTTCCTTTGCTGTATATCCTGGAGGAAGATTCATGTAGATCTCTTCATCAAGATCTCCATTCAAGAAGGCATTTGAAATGTCTAATTGATGCAAGCTCCATTTCTTGGCAGCTGTAACAGCTAGAAGATCTTTTACTGTAGTCATCTTAGCAACAGGTGAAAAAGTGTCAACGAAATCCACACCTTCCTGTTGTGTATAGCCTTTAGCAACGAGTCTGGCCTTATAACGTTCTAAGCTTCCGTCGGCATTGAGCTTTGTTTTATAAACCCACTTACATCCAATAGGCTTTTTATTCGGAGGCAAAGAACAAATAGACCATGTGTTAGTACTCTCCTGGGCTATAAGCTCTTCATTCATGGCATGAATCCATTCATCGAATTTCTTAGCCTGATGAAAACTTGAAGGCTCTGCAAATTGTGTCACTGCACAAATATAGGCTTTATAATCATCAGTTAGTCTTTCATATGACATGTAAGCAGCCAATGGATGAGGTATATCAGCTGCAGTCATATTACAATAGTAATCATGTAGATAAGCTGGTGACTTAGACTTTCTCTTCTCTTTTCCTTTATTCTGACTATCATTTGTTTTAGTAGCACTGGCAGTGATAGTATCTTCTTCAATTCTAGAAGAATCTCCTACTTCTATAGAATTGGTGCTATCCAAAGCCTGGCCATTAACTAAAACAAAGTCAAAAATAGAAGAAAAATCAGGTTGTGTAGACATACCAGTAGCAAAGGGAAATATATCTTCATGGAACACAACATTTCTGGAAATGTGGATGGTATGTGTGTCCAGATCCAAGAGTTTGTAGCCTTTATATCCAGCAGGATAACCAAGAAATAAGCAAGCTTTTGCTCTAGGCTGAAATTTATGCCGATTCTTGGAAGAAGTAGAACTGTAGCAAAGGCAACCAAACACTCTTAAACCCTTATACTCTGGCTTCTTAGATGTCAATACCTGAAATGGCGATTTATTCTGAAGTAGAGGTGTTGGCAAACGATTGATTAGGAAAACTGAAGTCAGAACACAATCTCCCCAATATTCCAATGGAAGGTTTGACTGAAACATCAGTGATCTTGCCACATTTAGAATGTGTTGATGCTTTCTTTCAACAACCGAATTTTGCTCCGGAGTCTCTGGACAGGAGTGATATGACTGAATCCCCTTAGCTTTGTAAAGCTCAGTGAACTGAAGCTCCGGTGCATTATCGGACCTTACACCTTTGACAACAGCCTTGTATTGAGTCTCAATCATTTTAAGAAAGTCAGGAAACACTTTTAAAACCTCTGACTTGGTTCTGAGTAGATAAACCCATGTTACTCTGCTGTGATCATCTACAATGGTTAGAAAATGTTTATATCCTTCCACAGTAGGAACAGAGAAAGGTCCCCATAAGTCTATATGAAGCAAGTCAAAAGCATTCTTAGATATATTGTTGTTAGAAATATATGGAAGATGCTTTTGCTTTGCAAGAGGACAAATGGAACAAGGTAGACCTTTATTATTATTACTCTGTTTGATTCCAAGTACATTGGTAATAGATTCTAGCTTAGCAACAGATGGATGTCCTAATCTATTATGCCATAAGGTAGAATCTGCTACTACATTGACAGAATAGGACATGTTTTCATCATTAGAAGCTGCAAGTGAATCTCTATCCAAGACGTATAGGTTTGATATCTGCTCACCATTCCCAATCGTCAAGCCCTTGATAGGATCCTGTATCATACAAGATACTTCATCAAATATCACACGACAACTCAGATCTTTAGTTAGTTGACTAACACTGAGCAAATTGAGACGAAAATCTGGTATATATAGAACATTGTTCAATACCAGACATTCATTCAATCTTATTGTACCAATGCCTGCAATTTTAATATCTGGACCCGTTGGTAAAGTCACAGACTTATCAGAGAAAGTATCTGACATACTCACAAAGAGAGATTTATCATGTGAAACATTATGTGTTGCTCCACTATCGATGATCATAGACTTAGATGATAATGTGTTACCTGTGGCTCTCAAAATCCCAACAAAATGAAGTGTAGAGGATGAGAAAGCCATACCAGGTAATGCGGTGTTAAGACCACCAGAGGTGGATGGCATCAAAGTCTGATCGAGTGGTGTTGATAGTTGTGAGTTAAAATAGGCAATGACACCTTGAATCTGGTCTTGTGAAAGAGCAGGCGGTTGACAAGAAAAAGGCTGACCAATGCTGATGTTATTATTCACTTTAGGCTCAGTGAGAGCAACTTGTGCAACAACAGGCTTACTTGCACCAGTAGTGGGTTGTTTCCCTTTGTGTTTGAAACCAATGGGATATCCATGAATCTTGTAGCAAGTGTCTTTGGTATGACCATTATAACCACAGTGAGAACAAATAGGTCGAGTAGACTTTTGACCATTGTAGGCTGCATTAATCGAGAGAACAGAAGCTGAAGGTATCTCAGGAGCAGCTACATGAAAAGCTGAAGCAGTTTGAACAGGATTGATGCTTCTCTGACTGTGATCTTGATCAAGTAAATTGTAAACTTCTGCAAGAGTAGGCACATTCTTCTTCATAATGATCTGACTGCGAGCACTTGAATAAGACTCATTAAGACCAGCCAAGAATTTTATGATCTTTGTATGCTCCGAATGTGTTGAAATAGTCTTGCAGCAAGCACAATTCTGACATGTTTGAACACAATCTGCTCCATCAAGGTCATCCCACAATGTCTTCAACTTTGTATAATATGTGGATAGATTCATTGAACCTTGATGAAGAGACCAGATTTGTTGTGTGATTTGATAAGATCTTGGCAGATTGGTGATATGAAAACGCACCATTAAGTCATGCCAAATCTCAGAAGCATCTTTGAATCTCAGAATGCTATTATAGATTTCCTTTGTAACAGAATTCAGAATCCAAGATTTCACCATCGCATTACACCGTGACCAAATGCGATAGTGCGTGTGTGTCTCTGATGGTCTAGGAAGAGAACCATCCACAAACACTAGTTTATTCTTAGCATCTAAAGCATTAGTAATGGCCATGATCCAGGTGTTATAATTTGTTCCATCAAGAATTTCAGAGATAATTGAAGATCCTGGATTATCACCATTATTCAAGAAATAAGGCGAAAACTGGATTCCATCAAAAGCGAAGGTTTCTTGAGAGATTAGAGGCGGAATAACCTGAGTTTGAACTAGATTTGAAGAAGAAGCAGGATTAGCTCCAAAAACCACCGGAATAGGTGTAGGATCCACCGGAATAGGTGCGGATGTCGTCGGAATAGGTCGAACAGTCCTCGATCGAGCTGGAGTTGAAGAACTAGCACCGCGTGCTAATCACTTCGAAGTACGACGGAGAGTAACCATTTTGAGCTCAAATTTGAAGAAAAGAATCGATCGGGAGAGAAGATCCGATTGACTAAGGTCAAAGAACGAAGAGAACGAAGATCGGAAACGAAGATCGTTGATGGTGAAGTTGAATTCACCGCTCTGATACCATGTTAGGAATGTGGCCTAACTTAACCCAAAAGCTAGCTCAAGAGTTAAGGATTGCCACATCCTTTATATACTATCCAAAGATCTTAATCCCAAGCAATGTGGGACATTCTAATAGTTGCAAACTTGCAATCCTCCGACGTAAGTCTCAATCAAATCCGTTTTTGATTTCACTTTGTTATGTAACGTTTCAAAGTCTCTTTGGTACTAACTCTCACAAGGTTTTCCCGTCCGTTAAATCTTAGAAACGGCCTCGATCGTCAAAGTCCTCACAATTGTTTGGGCCAAAATGAGCCCACATTTCTTTCTCGAACATGGCCCACGTGAAAACAACATCACCTTCGACGTACGTCTAAATTGATTGCCACCATTAGTGCTGTGCGTTCGGTTATCTGATAAGTTATCGGTTCGATTCTATTCGGTTTCGATTTTTTCGGTTCTAAAATTTAGTATTCATTCGGGTATTTTGAAATTTCGGTTCGGTTTCAGTTCGGTTCCGGTTTTTCGATTTTAAAATTTAGTATCCATTCGGTTATTTTGCTTTGGATATTTTCGGATATTTCGGTTATTTGGATATTTTCGGATATATTTGGATATGTTTCAGTTATTTTCGAGTATTTTTACTATTTTTTTTATATTTTTGATTATTTAGTCTATAAATAACTAATATTTTTGAAAATATAATTGTATTTCGGATATTTTCGATTACCCAAGATTTTCGGTTCGGTACCGATTCAGTTACGATTCTTTCGGTTATAGAATTTAATATCCATTTGGTTATTTTTAAATTTTTCGTTTGGTTCAGTTCGATTCTTTTTGCTTCGGTTTCGGTTTGGTACATTTAGTTTGGTTTATTTGCCCAAACCTAGCCACAATCCATCTTCCTTCAAGTGGACTTTAAGTGAAAAACTGTAGGAGTTTACTTAACCAAGCCGCTGGATCTCCAACTTAGCCAACTTGGATTGAAACATCAGTTGTTTATGGTAGTGGTCTCGTGACTAGTGGTTCTCACTAGAGAAATAGTTGCTTTGTAGATAAATCTATTTTAACCAAAGTGAAAGCTCGTTTGGTAGTCTGGATTAAATTTATTTGGTTTAATTTAGATTGGATCAACTCAAATTATTAGGATTAAAAACTCCTACAAAATTGTCTGGAAAACATTATGATCTAGAAAAAAATTGAATTAAAAATGTTAATAATGACAATTTTTATAGCAAAGAATAATAATAATTTCGGGAAAAAACCCGAAAAAACTGCCATTTATTTTTTTTTGGCCGTTTAATACCTGTGTTTTTAAATTTGGAATAAAAATACCTCATTTAGTTTCGGTTGGATTTTAAAACCATCGTTTTAAAAAACTTGGTAAAATCCTACTCCCGCGTTAACGGCTGTTAACTTTCCTAACGGCAGTACTAACTGCGGTTAACACTTAACCCTACGTCGTTACTTAGACCCAAATTAAGACACTCTTACCCTTTCGCATTCTACCCAGAAATCGATTTGGGATCAGAAACCCTAATTTCTCTATTCTCTCATTCTCTTTGAAATCGATGTCTTTGAAATCGTGTTAATCGATGTGTCTAGGCGTTTGATTACTTGCGGTTTGGTTAGAATTTGAGTTCAAGGAGTTAGTTTGGTCGCATCGTGATGAGGTATGTAATCGATTAGGCATTTTTAGGGTTGGAGAAATTATGGGTTTGGGGGTTTCAATTTCTGGGTTTCTCGGGATTAATCGACAACGTTTCTAACTTCATCTCTCTCTGTGCAGTGGTTTCGATTGCTTGAAACTTAATATTAAGTTCGGAGGAGATGTCTCCTTCAAGGATGAGTGTTTCGCATACATCGGAGGATTCGAGAAGAGGGAAATGTTGATGGATCCAGACCTGATGACGTGGTCGATCTTCGATGATTTCCCTAAAGAGAATGGAGTGTCTGGTGCCGTAGAAAAAGTTTGGTACAAACTTTCCCATGAAGACGTAGATTCAGTAAGAGCTATCTCTGAGGACAGAGATAGTGGGATTAGGCAATTGTGTAGTGAAGCTTTGATTGGTGGTGAAGTAGATATCTACATTCAGCAAGGTGTGTCTGAACCTACACCGTTTCCTATGCCACAACCTGGTGAAGAGTGTGATGCTGGTGAAGAGAGTGATGTTGGAGAGCATCAAGAGTCTGATGCAGAGGGTGAAGCAAATAAAACTGGTGAAGAAGACAGAGCACAAGATGATGGTGTAGATCCAGTCGAAGAATGTATGGGAGATGATCCTCGGTTTAGTGCATTTTATGAAGAAATTAATGCTGCTCATGAGGATACTGACCAAGTTCCAGAAGAAGCTGTTGATGAGGATACTCACCAAGTTCCAGAAGAAGTTGATGTTCAAGCTACTCATCAAACTGAGGAAGGAGTTGCTGCGGGTCAAACTGAAGAAGATGAAGAAGATGAAGAAGAGTTAGAGAGACAATGCATGGATGCTGAGCGACCTGACCCTGCTATGGATACAGATGAAGAATGGGATGCTTTTGACCGTGAAGAAAGAGAGATATCAAGAGCAAAATTCAGCAAGGATAAGCCACCTTACTTGTGGTTAAAGCAGATGTTTCACAATGGAGAAGAGTTTAAGGATCAACTTCTGAGGTATGTCTTGAAGATGAATTACGATGTGAAGCTATGCAAATGGGGTCAGTCACAGCTTATGGCTATATGCAGTCATGAGAATTGTGAATGGAAGATCTATTGTTCTGTGGACAAGAGGGTAGGGAAATGGTCAGTTAAAACATATGTTGATGCGCACCACCATGCAATCAGTGGAAAAGCTAGGATGCTGAAACAAGGTGTGATTGCCAGATTATTCAGAGATGAAGCAAGAAGGAGACCAACCCTGAGTTGGACTGACATTAAGGATGAGATAATGATGAGGTACACGATTTCAGTGTCTAAGTGGATATGCCAAAAAGCCAGAAGAATGGCGTTTAATTTGGTTATTGAAACACAGAGGCAACAATTTGCAAAGCTGTGGGATTATGAAGGTGAGCTTCAGAGGTCTAATAAGGAGACACACACAGAGATTGTCACCATCTCTCAAGCTAATGGTAAGCAACAATTTGACAAGTTCTATATATGTTTTGAGAAGCTAAGAAGAACATGGAAGAGTTGTTGTAGGCCAATTATTGGACTAGATGGGGCTTTCCTTAAATGGGAATTGAAGGGTGAGATTCTAGCAGCAGTTGGTAGGGATGCGGATAATAGGATTTATCCTATTGCTTGGGCAATAGTAAGAGTAGAAGACAATGAATCTTGGGCCTGGTTTGTTGAGAAGCTGAAGAAGGATTTAGATTTGGGTGTGGGGGTTGGTTTGACTGTTATTTCTGATAAGCAAAAAGGATTAATCAATGCTGTGGCTGATTTACTTCCAGAAGCAGAACATAGGCATTGTGCTAGACACATTTATGCCAACTGGAGGAAGGTGTATGGTGATTACTGCCATGAAAGCTACTTCTGGGCTATTGCATACAGTGCAACAGAAGGGGACTACTCATTCAACATGGATGCATTGAGATCATATGATCCAGAAGCTCATGAGGATCTGCTGAAAACTGATCCAAGAACATGGTGCAGAGCCTTCTTCAGTTGTCAGTCTAGCTGTGAGGATGTTTCCAACAATCTATCTGAGAGCTTCAACAGAACCATTAAGGATGCAAGGAAGCTGCCAGTGGTAAATATGCTTGAGGAGGTCAGGAGATCCTGCATGAAGCGTATAGCTAAGATCTGTGACAAGACAAGTAAATGTAAGACAAGGTTTCCACCAAAAATAATGCAGATCCTTGAAGGCAACCGCAAGTCAGCTAAGTTTTGCCAAGTTCTTAAAAGTGGTGAGAACAGATATGAGGTGTTAGAGGGTATTGGCAGTTACTCAGTGAATCTCTTGACTAGAGAATGTGCTTGTAGACAGTGGAATCTCACAGGCATTCCTTGTCCACATGCTATATTTGTTATCACAGAGAAGAACCGCGATCCAGAAGAGTAAGTGTTACTTAATCTTAAACTCTTTTAACAATACTTTTAACTTAAAAACTGTGTATTGATTATTGGGTTTGCTTGCCATGTAGCTATGTTGATAGACACCTTGCAACACATGTCTGGAAAGCTACATACAAAGACAACATAGAACCTGTGAATGGAGAAAGATTGTGGAAGAGAACAGGCAAAGGAACAATTGAAGTGCCGGATAAGAGAAAGAAGCGAGGGAGACCAAAGAAGTTTGCTAGGGTTAAGGAGCCAACTGAATCATCAACTAATCCCACAAAGCTAACAAGAGAAGGAAAAACAGTCACATGTAGCAATTGTAAGCAAGTTGGTCACAATAAGGGAACCTGCAAAAACCCTACTGTACAATCAGCTCCTCCACGCAAAAGGGGAAGACCAAGGAAGTCTCTAGTAAGTATTCTGACTTTAGCTTTGTAAATTCAACATTTGTTTTACTATTACTAATCAGAGTTGTTACAGGATGATGATGATGATCCATGGAGCATCCACAATGCACCAAAGAGGTGGAAGAATGCTCAAAGCCAGTCCACACCACCTGTTGCTCAAAGCCAATCCACACCACCTGCTGCTCAGAGTCAACCTACACAAAATCCGCGGCATTCAAGTGCACCAGCAGCTAATCCAAGTGGTAGAGGCCGTGCTCGTGGACGTCCTCCTGGAGTTAAAAATGGTCAAGGCAAGGATAAAGGCAAGGGTAAAGGAAAGGGCCGTGGTAAAGGATCAGATGAAGCTCCAAGACCTCCAGTCTTTTTTATGTCACCTTGGACTGATAAGGTCTTTGATGTTTGGCGACCTGAGAAGAAGTAGGATAAATTTTATGTTCTCTTTTGTGTTTTGAATGACTTTGTAGGATGATAACTATGTAGGATTAGGTGTTTGGTTGATCCTGATTTGTTTTTGGTGGGATCTATACCTTTTCAAACTAAACGGCTCTTTTGGATTAATGAAACTAGGATTATGATATTTCAAACTAGAGTTTTACAACAACAAACTAGAGTTTTACATCAACAAAACAGCAACAATGACAATATCCCCAAGACAACACGACAAACTAGAATTTTACAACAACAAAACAACAACAATGAACAACAATGACAATATCCCCAAGACAACACGACAAACTATAGTTTTACTTGTTTCCCATTCTAAGGCACATGGCAACAACAACAATGAAGCATCCCCAAGACAACACAATCAACTGCCTAAGCATTTTTTCCCTCTCATTAGCACCCATAACTTCAATTTCAAGCTTCTTCTTCTCTTCATCAAGCTTTTTCTTCTCTTCATCAAGCTTCTTCTTCTCTTCCTCAAGCTTCTTCTTCTCTTCCTCAAGCTTCTTCTTCTCTTCCTCGTATTTCTTCAGATGATCGTTAGATGCAGACCCTGAGACACTAACCACATGTTCCTTCATTGCCTTTACAGACTCTTTTAGCTGACGAATCTCATCTCTCGCCTCCAACAAGCTCACTTTTTGCCAACCAAATGGCTTTTCTGCATCCGCCCAATTGATGAAGCCATGAACACTACATCTGAAGAATCTTCTACCCGGATTTTCATTTGTCCATGCCTTTGTAACCGTCGTTGCTTTACCACAATTGCAAATAGGACCCCAGCTACGGCTAACTGAATTTGCATCAGACCCAGAACTTTGACTCATCATTTGTGTAAAGAAGAAGAGAATATGGAGAGAAATTAGGGTTCTATGCTCTCAAATCGATTTGGGGGAATTGAGGTAAGGGCAAGAGTGTCTTAATTTGGATCTAAGTAACGACGTAGGGTTAAGTGTTAACCGCAGTTAGTACTGCCGTTAGGAAAGTTAACAGCCGTTAACGCGGGAGTAGGATTTTACCAAGTTTTTTAAAACGATGGTTTTAAAATCCAACCGAAACTAAATGAGGTATTTTTATTCCAAATTTAAAAACACAGGTATTAAACGGCCAAAAAAAAAATAAATGACGGTTTTTTCGGGTTTTTTCCCGTGAGATATTATACTTGTTATATATAGCTTTTGCTCAATTGGTAAAGTATTTTGAGCTTTTTTTATAATGTTATTCTCAACCCATAGAATATTGAACATCTCAACGAATCATCATCTTCTCTTCACATTCCTCTTTTGTTTTGTTTATTTTTTCGCTACGACTGTGATATGTTGGCAAAATTATATGAACCCTAAAAGAAAGATGAAGACAATGATATACACCAAATTGAATTACCTGTAACGCAAGAAAGCATTATATACACCAATTCTCCTAATTCCTATTCTTAATGCGAAAAATTTTAAAAGTCATTTTGACAAGTAAAGAGAGAGAGATACATGGCTTTGAATTACAGAAGTAAATTTACACCTGTTTCTCCTTTTCTTTGGCCTATATCCTGATCTCACATCCACGCTCGAGTTTCTCCTTAAATTCCGCTGGTTCTTGGTAAACCAAAGCAATCGCTGTGGCTTCTTCATCTACACTTATCTCTTGACAGCCGTGCCACTGTTGTTACCGTTCTCTAACTTCGGAATCAGACTTGCCACTGCTCATTTTTGTGTCTTTTAGACCAAAGTTTCTGCCTAGCTCAGAGGCTATGGATCCGACCTCCACATCGTCTTCTTCTTCTGGCGCCCAATCTCTGAAATTGATCAAAGGTTGTGGGATTCTTGCAAAGAACAGCTCCTTGAAGTTCTCTAAGATCCCCTTTCGGTAAGGGTTTTCCTTCTTGTCGTAATGGTACCGAAAATTCTCACAGGTCGTCTGCAAACACAACAAAAGAATCAGACCAACGGTAATAGCTACTTGGAAAAACAACGAAAACCCATTCACTTGTTGCTAATTAAAAGCTAAAAGAATCTTGCCTGGTTGGTGCAGATAAGGTAGAAGTGGAAGACAGTAAGTCCACCAACAAACCAGACTGAAACAAAGCAGTAGAGGCCAAGAACACCTAATATTAAGTCATCAGCAAGGACAGCATAGAATTCGCCATGGACTTTAAGCATGCTGACCCATGAGAAGACAAAGACATAGATGCAGAGGAGTGTTGAACATGATAAGAAACAGACGAAGAATGGATAGTTACGCTGCAAAAAAAAACTCGTAAATAACATATCAACTCATAGATCTTACTCAGCTCTTTGTCTTGGAAGTGAGAATTTGAGTTCCAGTAAGACAAGACTTACCAAGGCGATGCACTGACCTACCCATGGACAGTGATGATCAAACCTTTGGACACAGTTGTTGCAGATTGAGCAGTGAAAGGCACGAGGAGGACGGTATAGCTGACAGGTATCGCAGAACTTCACTTTCGCGGTGAAGCCATTCACCATTACATCTTTTGTTCGAGGTAATTTCATATTTCCTAATTTGTTAGTCACCCATTCTGTCGATTGGGTGATAACATCAGGAATCTCTGCCTCAGGCACTTGTTTGTTCCTTGGGATAATCCCGGGGTCTCTCGATGATGTCAAGAAGAGAAAAGTAAAAGCCTGCATAAAAGGAAGAAGTAAGAGATGCAGTAGTTTGGCTCTAGGTATGCTCTGGCTTACAAAGTAAGTAAAAATTGTAATGCTTTATATACTATATATACCATGAATGTGAGAAGAATTGCACCCATCAAAGTAAGAGAATGAAAGAAAGGGTGACGATGGCTGATCAAATAAGCCATCCTGATGCAGAAAGTGATAGCTGGTCCTCCAATCATACATGTGGTCAAAAGAAGCGACGATGCATCTGGACCAAACACTAGTCTTCCCCCACAGTAAAATTTCTAAATACAAAAACAAATAGAGAAACTCCACTTGAGACAATGATTTCATATAGACAACAATCAGGATCTTGCTTTTGCTCTAATCATGTGTGAATCTTAGACTATGTAAGAACATGAGCTTTTAAGATTCTCTCCATAAAGTTTTAGCCTTTTTGTTTTGAAATAGTCTAAGATTCACACATGATTAGAGCAAAAGCAAGATCCTGATTGTTCTTAAAAGCTCATGTTCTTACAAACTCTAGCACACAGAGAAAGTAGCAAAATCAATTCCGAACATCTTGAGGTATTTTGCTCATTCATTCTTATCTCCCAAAGGTAAAATACCTTTAAAAAAAAATGCAAATTTCCTGTCAAATCATGAAAAGTCTTACATTTTTGGCGGGCCAAACTTGATAGATCCTTTTTCGTTCAGGATTCTGAGAAGACATAACGTTTTTCTTCGGGGAATGAAACTGAGAAATGTTTTTCGCTTTTTTCCAGAAACGAATTTTCCTCTTTCCGTTTTCTGGATTTCACGGCCAGGCGAATTCAAAATCCGGCCGCCGATTTGTTAGGATTTTGTTCTCCTTCTTTCTTCTGTTTGAGAGATCTGGTTTTTCTCTCTCTCTCTCTCTGCCTTTCTCCATAGATTTGTCCTCCGCCATTGGAAGTTGCTCAAACACCAACAACATCATTCTCTGGAACACCCTTAACTTAGCCTTTCTCCCGCCAATCACACACTGGGGCAGCCACGTGTCATGAAAAGTACCCAACTCCGGTTTATCTATTTCAAACCGAATCAAGAAATAGGCCGGTTCGGTTTGTATTCTCTGAGGAAACTTAAACCGGATCAATCCAATCCGTTCGTTAAGAAGACACAGACAAGGAGAAAAAAGCTTATCCACTAGAGACACAGAGAAGACGAATTCTTCCATTAGAAGAAGAAGATGGCTCTTCTCTGCTTCAATTCTCTCCCTTTTCTTTCTTCTCTTTCTTCTTCATCTTCGTCGCGCCTTCTTCAACCTTCGTCTTTCGCTTCTCCAGGTAATGCCTTTTCACTCGTTTCTACTCTTGACATTTCGCTTTTGCTTCGTTTTGTGTTGGAAATCAACTCCATTAGAGACCTATGAAACCAAATTCGAGCTCCTTGGCTAATTCAATTTCTTGGTTCTCGAAAAAATAAGAACTTTTGTTTTAGGGCAGTCAGGTTTTATGCTTAAGAGATCAAAGTAGGCTTTCATTGAGGCATTTAATCGAACACTTGGTTTACTTGTAATGCTCTAATCTTTTGTGTTTCAGTTTGGAGCCTTAAACCCAACGCTGTTGAGTCAAAGAACAGAGTCTCTCTCAGTGCTTACAGCTTGAACTCTAGCCATGGAAGGGCGGTAGCAATTGTGGTGAAGGCGGCTGCTTCTGGCGTGGACGGGGCTGAGCCCGAGAGCAATGAGGAACCAAATACTGTTGTTGCTGCTGTTCCAGTGGATAAACTACCATTGGAATCAAAAGAAGCTAAAGAGAAACTGCTCTTGGAACTGAGGCTGAAGATGAAGCTGGCCAAGAAGATTAGGCTACGCAGGAAACGTCTGGTTCGTAAGCGTAGGATGAGGAAGAAGGGTCGATGGCCACCTTCCAAGATGAAGAAAAACAAGAATGTCTAAGTGACTCAACTGTTTGCTGCTTTTCATATTCGTTTTTGTAATGTTCTTTTTGGTGTTCAAGGACCCTTAATGTACTTCAAATGCAACCATTGTTTTTGGATTTAACTTCAATCTGAGTTCTTCAAATACAACCATTGTTTCGTATATTAAGAGTGAGCAGTCTACAAAAGAGAACCCAAAAGTTTGAAACTTGCATTGAATTTGAACCATTTAGCTATTAAGGAAGAACATGTGAGCGGAAAATGAGAGGATAGGTGCAACAGAATCCGGTGCTCCAACACTGCAACAAGGAAGATTGATTAACTAACTGATTCTATCTATATATATACTTTGGCATGTGAGACTTGATAAAGCATATGGCTTACCACGGAAAGGAGTGGACCTTGCTTGAACTTGTCATGGAATGAAAAGGAGAGAGCTTTTGGGTTTTCTCCAGGTCCTCTGATGAAACCGCTGTAATCATTAAAGCATTACGATTTGTCTATAGATTTAGACTATGCAAAGATATATTCAAAAGAAGGTCAAGACCAATGGAATGGATAACAGTAGGAGTTACTTACACTAGTGATGCTGATACAATAGGTGTCCTTCGTGTGTCGTAGATGGCAATCAATCCTTTGTAATTTTCATCGCCTCCTTTGTATGACACAGCCAATCGTTCTCCAGATGCATCCCATGCTATCTTCTCGATGCCCTCACTGGTTATTCAGTTATGAAAGATACAATTTCAGGAAGAAATTAATGGAAGGCCTTTGCACGGGTTTATTGAACAAAACAATCAAATGATTTACCTGCCAGTAAGAGAAGCAATCTCTGGCAATTCAACTGGTAATAGATGGGCATCTGAAAGTAACGCAAAACAGAGGTTTAGTTTGGTAACTGGTAAGTATTTCTAGTAGTATAGGCAAAACGACTTCAAAGTTTCTACATACCCAAGGATGGTGGCTTGGATGAGAAATGAACAGAACCCAGTGTTGAAGATTTCGAAAACGAAATCAAGATAAACCGTCCTTCGGGATCCCATATCGCTCCCTATCAATAGAAGTTAGTATAGTATTATAGCTTAGTCCAATTACGAAGATGGAACACAGTTGCAATTTCATACATAAAAGAAGGAAGATGAATGCTAGTAAACAGAATGGAGTCGTGTAGAATATGCTATGCTTACAACACTAGTGATGTTAACCTCTCCAACAAAACCACTTTTAACAATACTCTATTGCATATCTCACTATTCTATGTATGGGCTCACGATTTTACCGTGACAGATCCAGATCCACTAGACAAAGACCAGGGCTCAGATGTCCATGTGTTTGTTTCCCAAAGACAAAAAGTCCCATCACTGTGACAGAAAAACATTTTATTAGCAAACATATCAAACAGGAAGTTACTTTCCACATCTGAGAAAAAGAGTTGATGTCCTACAATCTTGCTGCAAAGAAGTAGTCTCCTGTAGGTGACCATTTAAGCATTGATATTCCACCTAGTCCCCGTCTAATAGGTGTCCCCGCCCCTGGAAGATGTATACAGATCACTTTCAGAAACAAGGGATTGCAAGATGCATTTTCTCATCTCAACTCAAGACATAGGATGTTAAATAAGAGCAAGACAACAAATTCTATCCGATCAACTGTGTGACTTGATTTACTGATACTTCGCAAGCAGGATAAATGTTCAAACATTTGCATGCTGTTGTGCATAAAGAAAGTGTTCTAAATTGTCCTTCTATTACCTTGAGAAACATCCCATATGGTGAAAGATGAGCTGTCATATGAGGCTGATGCTAAATATGTGAAAATAGGTCAAGGAATAGCAGGATGGACAAAGTTAGAGAACCATGATGCAAAGACAAAAAAGATCCAACAAATCCAGATACTTTCCCAACAAATGCCTACCGTAAGATTCAGCTCGATAAACAACTATGGTAATTGAAATGATCTTGTTAAACGTGTACAGTCAACTATCAACACCAAAATATAGTAAAGCGAAACAGTTATAGCAAAAAAAAAATTTAGGATATCTTCCACAGGGGCTCCATGAGAGAGCACTAATTTGCTCATCATTTTGACACCGAAGAAAGTCAACCAAAATCCAGCGAGTTCCGGATCCTCGAGAGAGACTTCCCCTCAACGCGGAACCACCGGATCTAACCAATGCCATGTTACCTGGATAGGAAGCAGCCCATATGCATATTCCTCCCCTGTTTCAATGGAACAGTTATTAGAGTACATACAAGCTTAACTATCTATGGAAACTAGCTATTCTAGAAAGTAGACAGTATCAGAAGGCCAATAATACTCACCGACAGGATATGGATAGGGATTTTCCACCATTTGGTCTCCACTCAAGGGCTTTAACACTTCTCTGTGAATCACTTGTCAAAACGCAAGGTTCCTTCTCATCTGTTCAAAAGAAGAATTTGAAACAGTATGCACAATCCTGTAAATGTGCACTAGGAATCTAAAATTGAATTATAGAAAACAGACCTTTGTCGTCATAATCACGAATTGTAACTTGATTTGCACCAGATATAAAGGCAATAATATGCTTCCCTTGATGCCAACTCACTCCTTGAAGATCAATCTCTGAGAGGAGAGTTACCTAGAAAAGAAAAGGTGAAAGGCTGTGGCTTTATTAACAGCTACGATAATGCCATTTTGAAATTGCAAAGAACATCCCTCCTATCAATTTTCCATAGATACATAAAGAAACCAACAGACTGATAATCAAAACTCTTACATCGGTGGGTTGTAAAATCTGTTTAAGAATGTCTGAAACCTTCATCTGAAGTGTTGCCACCAGTCCTTTACTCTCAACACTTGCCTTATCTCCATTCTCTTGTCCTTCATTTTCCTGAAGAGAACTAGGTGTAGAGTCGAACGAAACAGGGCTAAACACCATTCCCTGTGATCAAACAAAAAAACCCCAAATCCGGGAAACATGGAAGTTGTCAAAAACAAAGCTTTTTGCTACCTACAAGTATGGTTTAAATCTATATGAAAATCAGAAACGAAAGAGAACGCCCACATACAAGAACTTTTCCATATGTCTCCAGAGCTCGCTCATCAGACAAGTTCTGAGCCGTAACTGCATTACGAAAATCCAACCATTAGCTCAGAAAGTTTCGAAACCCCTAGATTTTTCAAATAGAGTACAGAAGATGGAAAGGAAAAGCTTTAACATACTCAAGTCTCTGTTGATCTCGCAGACGGTGACGGAACCGGGATGAGGAAAAGATGCCATTGTCCCTTTTCTAGAGTTTAGTAGAATCCGCAATTCAAATTAAGATAGCCCAAAAGGTTTGATTAGACTATAAATCACACGGTGAGAGTAGACAGTGACCGGAGAACGGCGACGGATTTTCGCCGGAAAAACGGAGAGAGGATTTGAGTTTAGGGGTTTTGATTTTGAACAATGTATATTCCGGCAGGGGATTTGGTTAAGTCGTAAAAGACTATTTTATCCCCGGATTGAGCTTATTACTGGACCGGGCATAAACTTTATACAGTTAAATTAGAGCCGGACCGGACCGGTTTAGTCCATCCCTGACATTCCTAATCTCGTGTTAATTTTTTAGTCACAACAAACTAAAAACTTTCTTGGCTTCAAGAAATGGTTTTTGCTTATGTGCTTCTTCTCGGTAATTTACGTAACACAAATTAAAAGGGTTTCTCTTTCTTTTTTTCTGCGAATGTGTTTTTTTTTTCTACGAGTGTAACTTATAGAGTACACAAGTAACAAAGTTGCATCATAATGTGTTGTATTGCCCTTTTGATTTTGTTATTATTACTGGTAAAGCGAGTTATTTCGTTTCCGTGTTTAGAATTTTTGAAACCTCACACAAACATCAAAAGATTTGAATTTCATTTATCTACTTGGAAATGTTATATTCATATTGAGGCTATATTGTTGAAATCATTTGCGTAAATTTCCGTTTTATCTCAACTATTTTTTTTTCCCAAAAGAAATAATAAACTTATATTCTTGCAAACGGCAATTCCAGCATGTACTTACACAATTTTTGGCTATTCACACGACTTGCATTCTATCAACATATATACTATATACTTCAATCAGCTAATATGTGTCTGTAATTTACTAATTTTTGTATATATTCACCATTTGGTAGGCAGGACATCTTGACTTTTAAATATGGGTGCCACTTCGGTTCGGATTTTTCCCTAAAATCAAAACTAATCAAATTTTAGATTGGTCGGTCTTATAATTTTCAATATCCAACGAAACTAGATTAAAAATAAAAACCAATAGTAATTTTTTTCTTTCTTTTTGTTGAATCTTCTCGGATTTCTTCACTCTGCAGAATCATCTTTTTATAGATAATTTTAAGCTAATCTCTTAATTCTTTGGTCTACGCGAAATTTAATATTTTATTTTGGTAAACCCTTAACAAGACACAATAATTAAAACACTGGCGACACCAAGACACAAGAAAATGTAATTAAGACTTAGGACATAAGCTTTTTGCATCTCACAAGACGCTAACGCGGTTTCTTGGAATCACACACCAAGTGTTCCTAATACGCGCAGTCATTTACACCTATATAAATATGTCTTATACACACACAATATATTATACACAACCAAAATATCATATTGAAAGCAAAAAGATTTCAAGACAAAACGTAAATCTCGATCGAAAGATAATTAAGACAATGTTTGATTGGATACATGGAAACTCTCGATTACCAATAGCCTTATCTGTACGTTGCCATCTATGTCTTTGCTATTGATGTTTATCGTCAAAACGTTTTGTTCATTTTCTAATGTATATTTTCTTCTGTTGTTTAAGATTGTGGAGCTTTTGGTAGACATGGATTGTCAAGGATGTGAAAAGAAGGTTCGAAGAGCCATTTCCAAACTCGATGGTAAGAAAAATTCAGAAAAACAAAATCAAACAAAGATTTTATTCGTTTCATTTAGCTTTCAGACATATTTGTTTGGTCTTAATGAAAATCTTATAACATTCTATGTTGAGATTATTGATGACTAACAGTCTAAAAATCAATTTGTGTAGGAGTGGACACGATAGAGATAGACGTGGATCGACAAAAAGTGACAGTCACAGGATACGTTGATAGAGAAGAGGTTCTAAAAATGGTTAAACAAACAGGACGAACAGCGGAATTCTGGCCTTTTCCTTACAATGGATATTATGGTGATTACTATACATATCCTTCTCAACATTTGGAACAATCCAATCAGAAGATATATCAAGCAGAAAATACTTTTTCATATAATGGAAAGTACGATTTCTATGACGTCGACGACTTTCAAAATACGAACAACTCTTCTATCAACGGTTATTATCTTCGTCCATCCCAAAAAGTTCAACCTAATACTATCGATGAAAATGCTCTTCATCTTTTTAGCGATGATAATGCACATGCTTGTATTATCATGTGATTTGTATTATTTTGACGTGGGATTTTTTCATTCGTTTATTCATTCTTATATAAGTGTAACCAAAAAAATATTTTGTTCCCTCTATGATATAAGTTTGTTTGATAGAATACATATGTTTCATCTTAAGTTTCATAGTAAGGCCATTGTTTTCGTAGTAAGGCCATTGTTTGCTAATTGCTACCACATACCGACTTCACAGGTACGTGAGAGAGAACAAACCAAAAATTATGGCTAATGAATAAATGGGCTTAGCTCATTCACAATTACGCTAAAGCCCAAAGGCCCATAAAATTCACTGTCTTTTTCGTTTTTACTCGGACGAATTTAGTAAGAAAAGAAAAAAAAAAACGCCCAAATTCCAACCTTGTGGTCGTCGCATCCCTAAAAACCCTCTCCTTCTCCGGCGAACCCGATGGATAGAGGAAAAATCAAGGAATCACTCCCAGCTGACCTCATTCTCGAGATATTCACGAGATTGCCGTCGAAGTCAGTGGCTAGGTTTCGTACACTGTCGAAGCACTGGGCGTCTATGCTTCGCAGTCCTGATTTCACCAAGCTGTTCCTGAGCAGATCATCGACTCGTCCACGTCTCTTGTTTGCGGTCGAACGATATGGACGTACTGAATGGCAATTTTTCTCGACCCTTCAGCCTCAGAATCGGTATGAGAAGTCTTCTCATGTCGAGTTTCATACCAAGTTCTCAGGAGACATTAGCCAATACGCTTGTAGCTATGCCTCAGGTTTGATCTACTTCCCTGTTGTGCGGATCATTGATACGGACACGATTGTGATTTGTAACCCTATCACCGGAATGTATGTGGGCTTACCTGAAGTCATGAAGTACAGTAGGTCGAAAGGCTTTTTAGGGTTTGATCCCATTGATAAGCAATTCAAGGCATTGGATTATGATTCCATTCTAACATTAGGATCTGGAGAACTCAAGTGGAGGATAAAGGATATCCATGGTCCTTTGTATGATCGTTGTCCTTCGACTCAAGGGATATGCATCAATGGGGTTTTGTATTACTTAGCTAGAACTTACTTAGCTGAAACACTTTCTTTGATAGTTCGCTTTGCTGTTAGCTCTGAGGAGTTCAAGTTTATTGACGCAGCATGCTTTGATGATCATATAGAGGATCCTACTGGATTGAGGTTGGTCAACTATATGGGTAAATTAGGTGTGACTAATTGCGATAATGTTGACGCTGGTGGAAGACGTACAGTTGAGTTGTGTATGTGGGTTCTAGAGGATGTCGAGAAACACGATTGGGTGAAATATGTCTACACTCTGCCAGAGAATGAAGTCCTTGCTTCCTGCGAATTTTCAGTTGCTGGAGTGACTGCAACAGGGGATATTGTCTTGTGTATGAAATATACATGTAAACCGTACTATGTTTTCTACTTCAATCCCGAAAAGAACACTCTCCAAAGTGTTGAAATCCAAGGTTTTGGAGCTGAGCTTGAAGCGGTTGAGACTCGTGGTGAAGTTTATGGCTTTGTTGACTATGTAGAGGATCTTAGTGTAAACGATGCAAAGCAGTTCAAGTCAAGCATTTCTCATGTCAAGACTCGCTGCTCCTGCTGTAACACGTTATATCCTGACAACATCGGGGAAGGGGAAGAGGTAGATGATGGTGTGAAAGAGACATCAGTGAAGATCAAGAAAGAAGAAGAAGAGAAGAGTATTAGAGAGTAAAACAATGAGACCAATGTATAGGTAAAAAGCTATAGGGCATGTCATCTATGCGTTTATGTTCTTTAGTCAATAGTATTAGACGTTGGTAAAAGTCTGTGCGTTTTGGTATAAAATCGTATGTACCTTGTGACTATCTTTGGTTAATCTAGTTTTTATTTCTAATTCCATCTCTCCTCAGTTCTAAATCAATAAAATCATCCCTATTGTATAGTTTGATGTTGTCTCTACCGTTGCACATAATTTTTTGCCTTGTTACCATCATCGGGAAGAGGTCCCTGCAACTCGGTTCCATCAGTGAAGAAGAAGCGCAGCAGAACAGGTACGAGTATTTGCTAACCTAGAGTTTTCCAGTATCATGTCTTCACTCGCCATTAGTTTAGCGCCAGCCAGCTTTTCTTTTACGATTTGGTAGTGTATTACAAATCTTTTGCGGAGAATCGTATTATAGCATTGTTGACTTTGTTTTGGTTAGTCAAGTTTTCCATCTCCTCTTATATGTATGTATAGATTAATGCTGTCTTCTACCCGAAATCAAAGTGAAATTTCTACTGTCTATTTATTTGGTACTCTGGTATTTTGTATTTTATATATAGTAGCTGGAGATTCCAAACCCCAACTTGTTTGGTCTTTGCATTTTACATAATACTAAGTAGGCCTGGATATAGGAGAAAAAAGATGCTTGACTTGAGAGATGCTTGAAAAGAAAGCATCTAGGCTCCTGCTCAAGCATCTCTCAGAGTTAACATCGCAAGCCAGAGGGGAACAAAGAAAGTAGTTGGAGGATTTGAGAAGAAAGAACGTCACTTCCCTAGAGCTTCACATGACAAAGAAATAAGAAGAGCTCCAAAACGATGCTCAATAAACCAACCATAACCAGTAATTCCTAGACAGGACAAAGCAAAAATACAACCATCCAGAAGCTTCAAGTGGCAAAACACTAAGCAACAAGTGCCTAGGATAATTTATCGAGGACCCAAAACTCTGGATATTGTTCATTTCCATCGAAAGAGGACTTTTCTACACAGAATAGCAACTAAACCAGGAGCCCTGAAGCTTTAAACTGACAGAGAACTAAACAGTAAAAAATATGCTTGTTGCTTTAGACAATTGATACCAGTAGATATATCCACATGGCCTCTCTTATTAAGCTCTTAAACCATATTCATCTTCACATTTAAACCTTTACTGGTACACTAATTGGCTTGTGAAACAACAAATCAACTTGTCTACTGATTTTATTTGGGAACAAGCCAGAGCATCTTTATCCAAGAGGACTAAACTAAGAAAGAGCACAGAGAAGAGACTTAAGCATGTTCTTCATTGCAGCCAGCCTATAGGTGTAATGTTGGTCGTAAACTTACGTATTTACATTACGCTATTTGTAGAAGGAGGACAAAGGTTTCATACTTCTGTAGAAAGCTTGGAGTTGTAGGATTGTCTACTGAGAGACTAAGTAGTTATAATCTGCATTTTCAGTTTTTTTTCACTATTTGGAACTTCTGGATTGATTACTTTTGCATCCACTGTAAAGGTCCAGTTGCTTGAAACATATGAAGAATTTGTCTTTCTTATGAGGGTTTCTTGATCAAAGCGTTACAACTCAAAAACAAATGAGAAGAAACAGAGGCTATCTCATTACAAGCGTTACAAGTGTTTGCAAATCTCAGAGCACATTTCTAGCTGCTTCACCAGTGTAGTATAGGCTAGAAAATAAACTAGAGATCAACTTGTGGAAGATGTGAAATACAAAAATACGTAATTACTTCCTAGCTCTTGGTTATAAGTTTGTTTATAAGCTGAATCATACCGGATACCACAGTCCACAGATAAATACTCGGTTTAACGTAAACTGAAACACACAAATAAATATTCATTTTTGTGTCGTCCTCAGAAATTAAAAGTTCAAAGACCGACCCACATGAGATGATAGATAAGTGTCTGAATCTGACTGAGACAAAGTAGATGATGATTCCCTCATAAACCCATCTCAGGTGCAACCACCAACAACCCCTTCTATATTTGTCGCCTTTACATTAGTCTTTGTTCTGACTATATTATATAATCACTTTGGTCAATCTATGGTCCCTCCTTATATTTATTGCTCGGTTAGTCTCTTCCACCGTCCACATATTACACCAATATTTACAAAATTTGAGGTTTTAAGTGAATAGATCCAACAAAAATGTGAAATGCATCCAAATCTAGTGTCAACCTTGATTTAACGTTTCGGAATCTCAAGTTAAGCCTTGTTAAAAGTTTACGTTTTGTTTCTAAATGGGTAAGTTTAGTCTCAACGGGACATATATTGGTGTCGTGTAATATAGGAATGAAAGAATCAACGCAAATGACGTTTTAACAGTCAAACTAAGAACACGACTCATGATGAATCAGTGGCAGTGCTTCCTCTTTTGTGGCATTGACGTTGACTCACTTTAAAAACTGTCCTAAGGAGGTGTTGAAAAATAAATTGAACTTGAAATAACTTCAAATTGCTTGCGACTTTTCTCTTATATAATTTCCATTAATAAATAGAGAACTTTTGTTGCTTCTGATCACCAAACCCATTAAGAGAGTATTTTTAACTTTTCTTTTTACGATGTAATCTTTTTGACTTGGGTTGTCGCATTATCGTTTACTTTGACATGCTCCTCTTGTAGTAGTTGTTGAAAGCTAATCTTCTCTTTTGTGTAACTTATTCTTGTTATTACACTAATAAGCTTCATTTTGGTTAAATCTTAAGATTAGGATAAGAGGAATCTTTAGATTTTTTTTAAAAAAGTGGATTTGTATCAGTAATGGAGACATTATTGTGGTGGTGGTAACGTAAATGATTGTCTTATGTGTGATATTGACAAGATAGAATTTCATGGGACCATCAAGATATTCCCCTAGCTTCTCTGAAGAAAAAATCTTTCATTGCTAAACAAAATTAAAATTAATTAACATATTGGTGCAGTGATTAATAAAAACAGAAGCTTTTTTTCCATTAACCATTTGATTTCCCCAAAAGTATGAACAAGAGACTCCATAGCTGCAAAAGCTAAGGACGAAAACAAGATTCTTCATAGCAAAAGAGAAATACAAGAAAAAGAAAAAAAAGATTACATCTACAAACAAACACTAAGATCGATCACATAACTTTCCATGATTCAAGTGTTGGGAAGCTCGGGTAACTATCCAATTCCACGGCGGAGCCACCACCAACGTTCGCCGTCGTTGTAGCAGCACTTGACTGATGATGAAACGAACCAATAGGAGCTGAAACAGAGCCCAAATCTGTGATAATGTTCTCTTGGTGATGGTTAGACAAAAACGACGACGTATCTAGTGTTGGAACAGCTGAAGATCGATCCAAGTTTCCGCACGACGGTGGTAGTCTACTAGCGAGCCGGTGAGGCTCCGGCTTCACAATCGGTGCGAAAATGCTGTTGGAAGAACCGAGGAACTTAGCTCCGGTGACTTGTTGAACCATCTGCCGGAAATTAGCCGCGTCCGCCGTTATAAACGTGGTTTGAGATTTCTTATTAGAGACTCGAGATCGGCGTTTCGTTGGTTTACCACCGGAAACACCAGGGCCACGTTTTCGTTTCGCGCCACCACCAACAACACCACCGCATGCGGGGATTTCTGGATCTGAGCCGAAAGAGACGTTGGAGAGAGTTTGAGGAGAAAGATCGGAGACTAAGACGGCGGCGGTTGAAGAGTCGAAGAAAGATGAAGGAGAAAGAGGAGATGATTCGGTGGAAGTGGAGATGGATCTGTGAAGAGCTTTAGCGAGTAAATCACTATCGTGAGAGAAGGAATCAGAGATTAGCCATGAATCGATGTTGAAGTTTTGACGGAATGACCAAGGGTCAACGCTCGCTAATCCCTCCGACGAAGCCATGATGGTTAAGTAAGTAATCGCCGGAAAACTTCTAAATCGGAGAAGAAAAAAAGGGAATCTTTTTTAGTGGATCAGCTCTGTTTTTAGAGAGAGAGAGAGTGAAAAGGGAATGTGATAATGAAGAAGAAATGAAAGCTCAAGGAGAGATAATATAAATAGGACGGCGTTGAGAGAGAGAGAGAGAGAGAATGAGAAACCGCGTGGAGAAGAGAGAGAGTGGAGAAGACACGCGTCAGCAGAATTGTACGGAACTCTGACTCAGCTCTGTTTTTTTCGTCGTCTCCGGTCTTATTAATTAAACCCATTGTTCTTGACCCAACTTATTCCCATGTAAGGACTATGGCGTTGTTAATTAATCTCTTCTTAATTGGTCATGCCAATAAATAACTTCATTTTGCTCCTAGTATCTCAAGGTTATATATAGCTAACTGGAATTGGACATATCTTGGTTTTAGCTTTTTTTCGGTGAAATTAAAGAAAATGATTTGACCTACAGTTACTTGATTTAGTTGTGATATGTAATGTAGTAGCTAGTATAGTAGAAACTTTAGATTGTAGATGTAAGGAAACTGATCTTTAGGTTTTGCAATGAAGTAAAATAAAAAATTAAAAAATTGAGTGGAAAATAGAGTACGTTATGCAAATAAACAATCTGCATCTAGATTCTAGAGTGTCAACACCAAATTTAGCCCGGATATGGGCATCATTCCTATTCAAATTTGGTTTTTTAAGATTGAAGCAAATGGTTTCAATGGTTTGGTTTTTAGTCACATTCTACAACTTCTCTAACTAAATACCATTAACTCCACTATATATACACACTAGTCTCGGTAATTTCCTTAAATCTTATTTCGTTATGCACCGACTTTATTATTTGTGTTCCGTCGAAACCGTTTATGTTCAAACTTGAAACAAATCAACATAACGAAAGGGAAACGCTAGGTTGCATAAATGCAGGTAGGCCATTGTGCAATACGAGTAGAATAAGTATAGCTCTATATATGGATATGTATTTTAGATATTAATCATCACAGTACTATTTTTAAGTGATTCCGTTTTTGTAAAGCTTCGAATTTATCGCAAGTGAGAGGCATCGTATTAAACTTTTGTTTCCTTTTATATTCTAGTGGGACACATTAATGTACAAATTTTCTATGTGTTTTTGTCTGTCTAAATCCATACCAACCTACAAACAAGCAAAATAGATATATATTGTAAATTGCATGGAAGAGTACTAAAAGAAAGAATAGATTATTATCATTAATCCAACCATGGTTGACC